CCGACGTCCCAGCATCTGGCCTTCATCCTCGGAACATCTTCAGATGAAAGAACAGCTGGGATTCCCGACTTCACAGAGGTCTGAGTCTTCCTCGCCGAGGGGGGGAGCTTTCCAAGTGCTCTGGGCCTCCCTGTTTCTTGCAACGGGGCAGTTTTATTTTTCTGGTCCCACAAGTGGCACTTTGAGGGGTTTCAAAGGTGGATTAGCCCTACTCCACCTGGAAAGAAGCATGTCTTGGCCTGGCCGGGGAAGTCGACTGGTCTGGGACATGACGAAGGAGGCACCTTCGCTGAGAAGCTGGCGGCCAAACACTGCCCCTCGTGACCGAGACCCACGCTGGCCTACCCACGGGCTGTCTCTGCAGTGATCCCCCCCGCGGCATGGCCATCAGGGCCCCCCAAAACTGCCAGCTCATGCTCTCAGGAGAAAAGTCCTGGCCTGGGTGTCAACTCAAGCCACCTTGTGGCCACGTAGGACCGTAGTCAGTGCCCCAGGAGGCCTGTCTGGGCTGCTGCACCGTCCTGGTGGCCACTCTCCAGCTTCTCACCTGGACCCCGTCTTGTCTCTAAAAAGTTTTTATTTTTAGATATTTCTGACCCACCCCACTGCCCCCCTGCAAATTTCAGACCAGTTACCAGGCCGGGGGCATGACCATGGTGGATGGCCAGGCTCCGGAGCACAGGGAGCTCAGCCTTCCTTGGTCAACAAGGAGAACGTGTCCCCCGGCTCTCCCCGCAGGCAGTGGCCTGGGGCAGGCTGGATCCCCACCAACAGCACAACGGGGCCAAAGCATTTCCCGGGCTTGGCAGTAGACTACCAGTAAATCACCGAGGAAACAACAGGATGTCACAGCCAAGGGCTTCCCACTAATTACCGCCTCTCTCAGCCAGCCAGGTGAGGGGACGGGTGAGCCCGGGCGCACTCTCGGCCCGGTCAGCTCCACCCGGCTGCTGGGTTCAGCCAGTTGACTCTGGGGGCTTCGAAATTAAGAAAACAGAAGGCAGGGGGGCACGAACATCTAAGGAAAAGAGGAGGGGCCGGGAGAAGAATGTTTAAGATCTCTCTTTGCTGATGCTTCCCAGGGCTGGACACTTGAGAACTAGCGAGGCTTGCAGGAATCCAAAAATTACAGACCCACTTTAAAATGCCACAGCAAGCCATCCCTCATGCTGCTTGTTCCGTGGGCTCCCCGGACCGCAAAGACAATGGCCTTTTCTTTCTCTCCAGATTTAAAACCAAGCCATGACAAAGCCATGACATGGCCCTGGGGACAGGCTTGGGGACATCCTCTTGTCCTCTCAGCTAGCGAGAGGCCCCGAAAGACCCAACACTCGGCGGGATCTATTTCTTCTAGAACTTACAAGGCGCTCTGGACAGATGACTGTTTTGCTTTCGTTTTACTTTTGAAAAGCTTCAAGGTCATTTCACAAACCTTGAGGACCGGATCCAAGTCCACTCCCAATTTTCTCCTTCATTCCAAACCTCCTTGTCCTGAACCTCTTAGGGGAAACGCAACCTGTGACATCTTCTTATCAGATGCTTTCCTAGCTCCAGGGTAATCATGCTTCATTTCCTCAGTATTGTCCTCACCCACAAACTCCTAAACCAACAATTAAAAGGAAGGTGCATGCCTTGTTTCTTAATTCCAATCCGGGCCTGCAGGGCATTATCCAGCTGACTTGAGGGTGTTTTTCAAAACACACAATAACAAATGTGTCAGACGCTCTGCAGGGGTCTTGCACTAGCTCTAATCCTCTGCCCGGCCCATCCTGCAGGTGAAGGAACCCTTCCTGGTCACTTGCAGCCCATGGCCCGTCCAGGTGGAGACTTGCACCAGGGTGGCTTAAAGGCCACAACGTACCAGGCAGGAAATCTACCTCTGTAGAGGCAGAAGTTTGCATTTGCACACCTACATTGCCAAGAGGGGGGCCACTGAGTGGGTGCACTGTGGGACAAAGGACAGTGAAATGGGGGAGGAGAGGAAGATACAGACATAGGAATCTTTGGGTGGGGTCTCAGCATCTGAACTATTTTACTGAAGTCACTTTAAACCTCATAAAATTCAGAGTCCCGTCACCCCTACCTCCCGGCTGCCCACCCACACAGAGCGCCAAAATGGAATCTGCCAACTTTGATTTCGCACATGCCCATTCAAACAGCAGTCTTCACACGAGGCTTAAAACCTTGGCTCAAAGTTCAAAGGTCAGTAAAAAGCAACTTAGCTGAAGAACTGTCAGGGAGGTGCATCCAGGAACTGTCTGCAAAGCAATGATTTGCAAGCTCCCAGCAAGAAGGCACCTCCAATGGAGCCCTCGCAGAAGCTGAGAATGCTCATGTCATGGCCCACATGCTCCACCGTCCCAGCCTCATAGATTCCTTGTAGCCAGGGCCCTCCTGGGCACCCAGAAGCTACCCCATATCTGGCTACCACCCTAAGAGAAGACGGGTGTGAGAAGCCTGTGCAGGCCTGGGACACCCAGGGACTGCTCTGCTGAGCGCTCTCAGCTTCTACTTCCCATCTGCAAAATGGGCTGCAATCCCCTCCCAAGGGCCCAAGACTAACCAAGGTTGGCGGAACACCAGCCTGCAAAGCGCTAGACCAGCAACACTGGGGGTTAGAATCGCCACTACTCTTTGCCAGAGTCTACTGACACTTTGTGCTGGATTCATTCCTTTGTCCCCGAGCTTTATTTGTAGCTCTTGTATCGCCACCAGAAAGGACAGTCTGGTTTCTGAGATAGCTTGATTTATGGGAAGCTCTGGTCTTGCCCCTCACAGATGACAACCGTCATTTTGGCCCTTTATGTAAACTCAGCGCCTCCGTTTGCTCCACGGTGAATCGGGGTGGGGGGCGGTGCACAGGCAATCACCTGGCTCAGGCCTCGCCCGCTCCAGCACCTACACACACCACTTTGCAACCACATGATCTGAATTCCCGCTGAAGACAGTTACAAGGCCCAAAGGCGGCTCCTGAAGGTTAAGCACCTTTGGGTGCTGGTCTGGTCTGGTCGGGGAAATGCAGGACCTCCCTCATTCCAACAGCCAGGCTGGGACAAAGGGTAGAGCTGTGTGGCTGATGGGGGGATGGAAAGGTAGAAAGACCACAACCAGGCCATGCCGACATCCCTCGCTGCAGCCCTGACATCCTTATTCCTGTGAGCTGGGCCCGCACTGCAACACCTCCCAGAGATGTGGGATGTGAAGGGGCTTTTTCTCTGCTCACCTGCCCTAGACACCCTGGGGCAGCTCTCCTGCTTCTGGCTCAAGGACCAGGGATTAAGGGGAACAGGCAGGCTGGGAAGCATCTGAGAGCCACTGCAAGAGTCCTTTGATATTAACATATTTCTCCCCAGAACTGCAAACATTCCCAGGCAGGGCAGAACACTCAAATGATGTTCCTGCTTGTTCCCTAGCGCAAGCTGCGTGTGGCCACAGTACTTAACCTCTGAACCTTAATTAACTAAGGCGAAAACATTCCCTGTCGCAGCATCTGAGAGGTAAAATGAGATCGTGTACATAAACCTTAACTGCTGGGCCTACAGGAATCGTTGCACCATTTAAAAAAATAAGTAGCTGTGTTGATGGACCCCCTGGGCCGAGCAGCACTCTCTGGGCATGGGTGCCTTGAATGTCCGTGGGAGACATACTAGACCATGCCCATTTTACAGTCCTGGATGTTGAGGGGCCAGGGGCCCCCGCAGTTCACCCAAGGTCACAAGTGATGGCTCTGGCTGTGAGCCAGGAAATCTTGGCCCTTGAGGCCAACCTGGCCCCCTAGCTGCCTCCTCCCTTCCTCTGGGGACCGTCCTTTTTAAAAAAGAGTAAGTGGGAGTCACTCGTATAACACAAACGTCATTTCACCTGTGCCAGGGGTCACTTTCACCTACTGAAGTTATAAACTGGGGGTGAGGGGATACCCCTGTCTGTAAAAAGCCATGGCTGCATGTGCCCTTTCACAGCCATGCTGCAGCTTAGGCCGGGGGGGACAGCTTGCGTGCCCACAGGCGGAGCCCCAGGAAGAACCAGCTCACCTTCTCCTGGCAGCAGGCAGCGGGCCAGGCCGGGACACTAAGCCCGAGCTCGCTCATCTCTAAGACAGACTTGCTGCAGCATCAAGGAAGTCGAACATCCAATGCCATGCCTGCTGGCCCCGGCCTCCGCTTCAGCCTCCCGCCGTGGTCTGGAGAACCACACAGAAGAATGCCCTTGTCCTGTCTGTCCCAAGCGCTTAGCAGGCACTGGGCAGCTTCTCCAGGTTTTGTCACGCTGCTGGCCACAGCCTCCAGGTAGCTCCTCCTCCAGTCCACAGAGCACAGAAAGGAGATCTCAGCAGGAGAGGGAAGGCACTGCACCCCCACCCCTGGATGCCAAGGACGCAAGCAGGGCCACCGTCACTCTCAGACCCAGCTGGCCCTCAGAAAACGCAGCACAAGGCCCTGACCAGCCCAGAGCCCCAGACGCCAGGAGAGGCCAAACCCGCTCAGCACCACTTGGCCCAGGGGCGCACAGCTCGGGCAGGGCCAGGGAGGTGCCAAGCTAGGTGGTGGCATGAAACTGCCTGCCCCAGGAAGACAGCTGGAGGCATCTCGCAAGTCCCAGCAAAGCACCGGGAGAGCGCAGGCCAGGCCGCTTAAGCCCACCCTGGACATTCCACCTTAAGGCAGAGGATTTCGATTTTCGCTGGAAAAGGGCCGGGAGCTCAGCCGCCTGAGCAGGCTCAGCCAGGTTCTCCTCTGCCCACCCCTTGGGAGAACCCCCAGCGGGTGGCCCTCTGCTGATCTGCCCGCAGGGTGGGCAGCAGCACCCCTGGGAGGAGGCAGCTAACTTCCCAGGGTCACCCCTCCTGCAGCGACTGGTTTCTACCCGAGACCCTTTCTTCTTCTGCTTTTCTGGACAGGTCGGGCTGCTCCATTTTTCTTCCAAAGCTACAGACTAAACAGCCCTGTCTTCGGGCCTCGGATGGCGGTGCAGGAGGAGAAAATACAGAAAGGGGCCCGTCGACATGGCCATCACTTTATTGTACTGACACCGTTAACTTAACTATAAATACTACGGTGGGGAGCGGGGCGCGGGGCCTCGGGCTGGGGGGCTGCGAGCCCCAGCGGGGCCCCCACCCCAGACGCCGACCCTCCGGCTCTGTACACTATTTACAGCACCTCTCCCTTCCTCGACCCCCTCCCACAAGGCAGCGCGTGTGCAAGAAAGTAGCGTCGACCGTCTGTGCAAGTGTCCCGAGTCGGGCCGGCGCGCGGCCGTCAGCTGTCCGAGTCCAAATCGCTTTTACCTTCGTCTTCCCTCTTCTCGGGGGACGCCTTCGACGACGGCTTGTTCCACTTCTCGGCGTTCTCCGACTCCTCCGAGGAGGACCGCTTCTGCCGCCTCCACTTGGCACGGCGGTTCTTAAACCAGACCTGTTGCGCAGCGGGGACCAAACAGCCATTAGGGCGCGGGGCGCGCCCCCCAACTCGCGGGGAGCCCCGCGCGCACGACTTGGCTCCCGTGTCCCGGACGCCTCCCCGAGCCCACGCGCCCCCCGGCAGCCCCCGTCCCGCCCCGGGCGCGTCTGGAAAGCCCGGGGCCCGGGGCGCGCGGCCCGCCCGCCGGGCCCCAGCCGCAGGGAAGCGCCCCGGGCCGCGCGTACCTCCACCTTCTCCTCGCGGAGGTGCACCTTCCGCGCCAGCTGCTCCCGGGTGCCCACGTCCGGGTACTTGGTCTCCTGGAAGAGGTTCTCGAGCGCTTCCAGCTGCTCGTCCGTGAAGATGGTGCGGTGCCGCCGCTTCCGCCGGCAGTGCAGCTGGTTGAGGAGCTGCAGCTCGGTGCGCGACAGCGTGCCCACGTTCATGTAGGGCAGCATCTGGTGCGGCACCGGGGACACCAGCACCGAGCCCGGGCCCTCGTAGCCTGCGGCAGAGGGCGCGCAGGGTCAAGCGCCCGCCCGGCCCCGGCGCAGGCCCGGGCGCCCCCCGCGCGCCGCCGCCGGACTTGGAGATCCCCAGCCCGGGGGCGCCGGGGCCCGGGGCGCGCGGGAGCGGGGCGAGCGTGCTACGGGCCGACCCGCGCACGCCCCGGCCCGGCGAGGGATCCGAGAGCCTCCCCTCCCCGGCGCGCACCGAGCTGCAGTCGCCGCGGGCTCCCGTCTGAAGTTGGGCGCGAGCGCGCGAGCCCCGCGCGCGGTCGCCAAACAGCCGGGCCGGGTTGGGGGCGGCTTTGCAGAGGACGGGAGCTCGGACGCGGGGGAGCGCACGGGCGCCCCGGCCACCCCGCCCGGGCCCGGCGCGCGCGGAGCCTACCTGGGGGCGTCGGCACGCAGGAGCACTGCTGGGCGCCCAGCGGCGGCACGGCCCCGCAGCAGGCCGGGCCCACGGGCGCCGCCTGCACGTGCAGCTGCCCGTAGAAGTAGTTGTTGTAGCCCAGGCGGGAGCCGCCGACCGCGGCCGGGAGGCCCGCGCCGCCCGGGCCACCGGGCGCGGGTAGAAGGCGCCGTAGTCCGAGGACGCGCCGCCGCCGGCGCCGTAGAGCGGGTCCCCGTGCAGGGCCGGGAACACGACCGGGGCCGCGGCGCTGGGCGCCCCCGGCAGCCCCGGGTCCTTGCCGCGCGGCCGGGCGGCCAGGATGTTGTCGATGCTGAACATGCCCGCGGGCATCCCCGGGCCCCGCGCCGGGGCCGGGCGGCGGGGGCGCGCCGAGGAGAGCGCCTCGAGGTGCAGGGGGGTCGGCGCGGCCGCCGCGGACTAAACCGAAAGAGACGCCGGCGAGCGCGCAGCCCCGCGCCCCTCCCCGCCCTGCGCCCTCGCGCCCGCCTCCGCCCGCCCCGCGCGCGCTCGCCGCGCCGGGCCCGCGGGCAGGACGGAGCTGCGCCCGGCGGAACCTCCAGTCGGTTTTATACCGAGTCGACGTCATCCTGGATTTGGTTCCTGGTAACGCGCAGACGACACACAGAACCAGATCTGGCCCTTTCTCGTCCTTCGCTGGGGGGGCTTGGGGAGGGGGCGGGGAGAGGTGCCAGGGGGAGGGGGCGGCCGGGGCCGCGCAGAGATTGTGGATTGCGAATTAATGAAATTAACCTAATCTCTTCCATGCGGCGCGCCCGCCGCGGGCCGGCCGAGCTGGGCGGGCGCCCTAATTGCCCCGGTTAATCTCATTAATTCCATTGTGCGCGGCAGTTAACAGCTCCCCGCCCGGGCCCGGCCCCCACCCCTGCTCCTCGGGCTGGGTCCTATTATTGGGTGCGATTTCCTCTGCCTGTGGCTGAAATTCATTGTGGCCAGTTTCACTCCGGGGCCCCTTCGCTCGCCCCCCGGTCGGGATTTGTTTTGTTGTAGCAAAGGCGAGCGGCCCGGACCAGGCCGGAGACGCCGCTTCTCCCCCGGGCCCCGAGCGCGCAGCCGCCTCGTTTCGTCTCCCTCTTTGTTTGATCTTGAGGTTCCCCCACCCCCCGAAGGGAATGGGTCACCCCCGCCCTCCCCAGTCCTTTGGGTTTTGCTAAGGCAAACTCTTGCGAGGGCAAAGGACGCCTGGAGAGGTGCGTCGTGCGCGCTCCGAGCAGCCACTTGGGGTCTGGAAACTCCCGCGGCTCCCCGAGGCCACCGCACCCCCCACCGCTGAGAACCGGCCCCAGAAGCAGCAGTCTGCAGCGGGGCTCCCTCCCCGCGCAGTATTTTTTGGGGGGCGGCGGTGTGGGCTAATCACTGTTTTTGGAAATGGGATGTTTTCTCCCCCCAAGAAAAAGTTGTTGTTTTTACCCCACAGCCCCCAACCGGGGCTCCAGGGCTTCCCGACACCCCTCCCCAATCTCGGGGGGGTTGTTTTTTCCTTTCGACTTGGCGGCTGCCACGCAGGCCCCGCGCCCCGCGGCCTGCTCCAGCCGGGCCCTGCTCGCGGCGGGCGGCGGCGACGTGGGGACCGCGGAGCGCACGGCCCGCGCGCCGGAGCCGGGGAGGCGCCTCCGGCCCACGACGGCGCGCGGGCGGCCGAGGCCCCCGAGAAGGTAGGCGGCGGCGCGCGGGGCGGGAGCGGCCTCGGACCCGCGGGCCGGGCGCACGGCCCTGGAGCTCGCCGCGGCCCTCGGCCCCGGCGCCGGCGACTCCGGCCCCTTCTGGGGGAAGCCCCGGGACCGGGGGAGCTGCCCAGGGCTCGGGTGGGGGCGCGGGGGACACCTCGGGCTCCTCGGAACCCCCGCCCACTGTGTGCGCGCGTGTGCGCGCGATTTCTGAGTAACCAGGGGGCGCGCAGGGTTGTGTGAAGTGCCCGCCGCCGCGAGGCTCGGGACGTGGGCCGCCTCCTCCCGGAGCTGGGGCCGCGGGGAAGCGCCCTCGCCGCCCGCCCTCCCGGGCTGAGAGGCGCCCCAGCACGGAGCTTCGGGGGCCCGGGGCGCGGGGCTGGGGCGGCGCGCCCGGAGAAGCCAGACGGCCGCGCTGCGCCTCTCCCCCGCGGCCTCGCGGCTTGGCCCCGCGCGCCCCGCGCAGCCCGCTCCCGGCCCCGAAGCGCCGCTTCTCTGGCTGCTGAGAAAACGGAGATGCTTTAGTAGGAAGAGATTATGGCAGGACCGAGATGGCTCCCCATTTGGGAAGGCGGTGGATTTTTTTTTTTTTACCATAAACACCACCCCTAGGGAAAGCAGTTGACCCTCCCCTTCGGAGAGGTCACGTCTAGGGGAAAAGTGTAGCGCCTTGTATCCTTATCCTACTCATTAAGGATAGAGGCTTCCCCCTCCTTCTGGTCGCGGACTAAAACATCGCCAGGTCCCTGGGTGCACGTTCCCCGCCAGCCTTTGCTGGGTTCCATCCTGCGAGGCCGCCCACGGAAGCCCAGGGCAGGCTGCACCTCTGCAGGGCTGGCTGCTGTGCGTTCGCAGCAGGCGCGCCCGGGGCGCGGGAGTGGCCCTTTTAAGACCTTTGCTGAGCTGGGGTGGGGGTGGGCGCAGACGCCCGCAGGAAACCTTGGCGGGTTTCTGCAAAGGTGCTCAAGCCAGGACCCGTGGAGACTTCTCTGCAGACCCGCACACACCCGTCATGCCTCCTGCCGCCGCCTCCTTGTTCTTAATAATCAGATTTAGAAAACTCCTGGACTCCGCGCTGCGCCCGAGGTCTTCTGGCCCTTCCATTCGGGCCCTGGGAGAAAGCGCCTCGCAGCTCGCCCGAGCCACCGCGCTCCAGGCGAACCGCTGTCACCTTGCAAATCATCTCTCCCCTCTAGGCCTCTGGATTTTTAGTTGACCGAACCAAGGCCGACGACATTTCGTTGGGTCCCTTACATTGAATGAGGTTGGGTAATTTGTCCCCCATTTACCAAGGAGGTTGAGGGGTGCGCTTGGCATTTTCTGCTGCTTTTTATTGGGACCCATGAGTGTGCCGCCCCCACCTTCACCCAGGACAAGGTCTCCGTGCGCTGGGTCCACACCTCGGTGCTGCGAGGTCCCGGGGACCCTGAGGCCACCCGACCCCAGGTATTCATCCAGTTCTCCCGGTGCTCGCCCCCCGGCGCTGCGGGGGGCCTCCCCCTCTAGGTTACCCCGCTATCTGCAAGCTCTCCACTTTGTCCGCGGAGAGGCAGGCGCCTGGAAAAACAGTTGGGGCGCAGAGCCGGCTGCGCGCCGCCGCCGCGGGTGGAAACCCACAAGTGTCCGCGACGCGCTGCACAAACAATCAGCGGCCTCGAGCCCCGGCTCCATTGGAATAACAAATGCGACGCACGCAAATTGCAGCCTCGAGTTGCTAAGTGATGGTCGGTCGCCCCGCACGCACCGCGCAGCATGGGGGGACCGCGAGGGGCCAGAGGCGGCCGGCGAGCGCTCGGGTCTGCGGCGCAGTAAACACGCCGCTGATTTTCCCTATTATCACCCAAACACGATTTCACACAAAGCAATCACCACGCAGAAGTCTATGAAAATGTGTCTGTCGAGGAGTCCGTCGCCCCGGTAATAGTCCTCATTTTTAAGATATTAAAGAGTAGATCAGTGGATTCCTCCTGCCTCGGGGCTGCTGGCGGGCCAGCATCTATCCAGGCGCTTTTGCGCGCCGGTCATCGCTAAATGGATTCACAGCGCGCAGATTAAATTGCTTCTCCGGTTTAAAACAAAGTGCCCAAGTTTGGGGCGTGCGTCTGGCCATCTCCTCCCTCCTGCCCGAGCGCTTTCCCCGTTGCAGGACACCGTCGCCCGCCCTCCCCACGGCCTGGGCTGGGGGAAAAAATGGACATGCGGCCTCCACTTCTTACGGTTCATTTCAGGAACTTTCTTTTCTTAATTCTTTCAGCCTCTTGCCCGGTCACAGAGCAGAGTTCATCATCGGTTGCGTTTCAGGGGGATTTTTCGGGCGTGCGCAAAAAACTGGCGTGTCTTTTCCCGGGGTGCCGGAGCTCCCCGGCGCGGGGATGTCGCCGGGTCAGAGGAATTAGGGACTGTGCGGAGACCTGCCTGCGCCAGCGCACAATGTCAAAGCAGCGCACATTGGTTTTATTGTTGGTACTTGGGCTTAAAACACACACACACACACACACACACACACACACACACACACACACCAGTGTCTCAAAACCAGTGCGCAAAACCCGTTCGTTCCAGAACACCTCCAGGAGCCCCGGAGGGTTTTTCCATGAGCTCGGGTAGGTGGAGGTTGGCGGGTCTGTGCATCTGCGGGAGGCTTCTGGCCGAATTTTCCTCCAAGTTTTGCACCATTCCAAATAAACGCACCCCGATGAAATCAGCAAGGTGTTAGGAAAACTCAGCCTAACCGAAAGAGGGTCGAAAAATGACCGTTCGAGCAAAAAATCACTCCTCCTGGTTTCCAGGGATGCGGCATCATTTCAGGGGCCTCAGCACCCGGCTGCAGACATCGCTTTGGGCTGCGCTATTTACCAAAGTTTGTTTCAAAGTGACTGCACCGCTGCTTTTGCAAATCACAGGATGCAAATGACGATCATTTGTTCTCGTGAAACTTTCTCTTGAAATGATTAGCAAAGTCAGTCATTTGGAAATTAGAGCGAAGGCACAGACGTCCGAAGCCCGGCGCTAACCGATATCAGCTTCTAAAGTTTTCATTCATGTAAACCTCATTAATGAAGATCTTTTATTTAAACGTCAAGGGGATTTGAAATTTAGAGTAAATTATGAAGCTTGTATGTCTAGCCAAGTCATGGGTCAAAAGCATTTGTGAAAAACTGCTAAAAGAGCATATGGTTTTGAATTTTTCTACAATGACTAGTGTTTAAATAAATTGCTTGTACTGCTTAACTTCATGTGTAATTTTGACAGAAATTGGCCTATAGCCTTTTGATATGTAAACATTTCAGCCTTTTATGCGGTATAAAAAAGACACTTGCTCTTTAGGATCAGTTCAGGCAGTCACCCTGTAATTCAGAAAGCTGGCACCTACCATTACATTCTTGCTGGATTTCAACTTTCAAGTGGCAGCCTCGGGAGGGAAAAAAAAAAGGGCAGAAAGAAAGAAAGAAAAAGAGGATATTTCAAAAGCAATGTCCATTTGGGATTAAAAGCTGCAAATGAGATGAGAACGTGCCACTTACTCTCTGAAAGAAATGGATAAACCATAGTTATTAAAGAACATTTTCTGTCATTTTTCTTTAAGCCAGCCCATCTGAAAGGGACACTTAAGCAGGGCCGGGACTGACTGGCATGTCATTAAAT